ATAAAATGTTCTGCTTTTTTGCTTGATCGTTCGTGGGTAAGAGGATGTCAGAGAGCATGAGTGGGGCAAGTGGCTGCAATTTGTGCTGTTCTTCTGCCCTGGTCCTAAGTACCTCCTCAAGCCTGCAATTCCTCTCCTTTCGTTTTCACCACTCAGGGAGGAAAGAGGGGAAATGGATGTTGTAAAAGCTCAGAATTGCCTAATTCTTTTTCACCGACTCAGTTACACCTTCAAAATATCCTTTGTGAGACTGATTATATTTTCTAATTGTGCCCAAACAGTATGAATACTCTTCACATCTTAAACATTAATTTTGATATGTTTGGTGTGTTTTGTAGTTTGAATAAATAATTTTTAAAAGTCTATATAAACGATTAATTCCCTTAAATGATTAAGGGAAACATTTTACATGAGGTGGTTTTAGGGTTTTTTTTAACTGAAATAATTTAGTAACTATTTTTGAAACAATGCTTGTTATCCATAAACTGCTCCTTTGGATACTGAATATATGTATTCAGTGTCTGTTGTAAGTGAAGAGGTAAATGAATGTCTTATGACTTGAAATAAGGTACAGTATTCATGTTTAACTGTGCTATGTTTTGTTTTTGAAATACTGATTTTAAATTTATTGAAATTTTTGAGATTAGGGTAGTCTTGCCACTTGCTCTCATGGTAGTGAATAGTCTCACTGCTAAAAGAACTCTATGAAGTTCTTTTTACTTTGAACTTTTCATCTTCTAACTGAACATTCATTATAATCAGTTTATTATACGAACATTTATTATAATCTTATTACAGATGACTCTGCTGTTTTGTACAGTTCTGGTTATAGCAGTATACTTTTATGTTTGTGTAATACATGTTTTTGCCATGTTTTGCCCAACTCCAGTCCAGATGTGACTGATGCTTCATTGGCAGTTCAGCTAATGATAGAAGCATATCTCACTTAGACTTTTATTTTTGTCTTTATTTCTAGCTAGGTAGATATGACCTATGCATATGAATGGAAGATGAAGCATGGCTGAGTTGAGGCTGTTGCCACTGACAGTCTGGTGAAGAAGTGGGTTTCATTGTGAATGTTTTAAATGTTATTTTTTTTAAGCATTCCAAACTTACAGGTTTGTATACAGGAAGAATGGCAACGCTGATGAAGTCATGACTGTGTAAGAAAGACTAATTTATGGCAAGAGGTGGTAGAAATAATATCACATGTTAGAGCAGCTAATACAGAAGGCAAAAAAATTGTAAACTCTCAGGTGCACAAACCTCCTCATGTCTAAAAAAGAAGCAGCAGGCTTCAAAGCTAAGTACTCACTGAGAACAAGAAAAGTTCTCTGAATTAGAATGGGTATGTTAAATCAGACTATCTAATACAACAAGTAGCTTATCCCTGCTGTGTAGAAAGAGGTTGTTAGTAAGGTAAATGTTAGTAAACATCAGTTAAGTTTTTCCTAATGGAAACAGGTTGGTACTTTATCACCGATGGAATGTGGAGGAGGTCATGGGGAGAAAGGATGATGTGGTATAAGCAAGTACCTCCACAGAGTCCCTTTAATACCCAGTGGAGTTCTGTGTTGGAGTCCATAAGCCTATCTTTTGAGGGATTTTTGAACTCCATTGAGAACCTGGGCTGAGAGGTCACAGACGTGCTGACAAGCTGCCTTCACTGGAAAGAGGACTGGATTCGCTCCACGTGCGCTGGTCGGTGAGGAGCAGACCTGTGATGCTGTCCTCGGTGGCACGTGAGGGCTCCCCCTGCTCGTGTACTTAAGGAGAGTAGCCAGACAAGGAGCCTTATATGCCTGTCTTTTCCTTGGGCTCATGGGTGGATTAGTGTCTCTTTTCATTCCCCTAACTAGATAAATGTTTCATACGCAGCCTTAATTATTTTTTCATGTATATTAAAGAATAGTTGAACTCCCAGTGCTGGGAAGGGTGCCTGCTCTTTGGGTTTTTTAGCCCTTCATCTTTGGAGGGAAAAAAAAAGTAGGAAGAGATAAAAGAGTCACTTTTAGCTTTGACTGAGATGTTAGGGTTTAACTAGATAGCCAGTATTGAGTCTTGTAATTCAATCTAATAATTGAGTTTCAGATTTTTATAACATTTTTATTGTTTCACATTGAGAATGTTTTTAAATTGCATCTTATTTAATATGAACAATATCTTATAGGCCATTACAAATCAAGCACAAACCTGTAAAGCATTAATCTGTCTCAGAGTAAGATCCCAGGTGTAATCATAATTGTTTAATAGTTCTCTTTGCTCTTTGTTAGAAGAGCTGAAAAGAACTTAAGTATAAAACTGTAAAGAAAATTGCTTGGACTAAGGAGTGACAAGACTAATAGGTAGTGATATTTTTTTTAACACTAATCAAATGTATCCGTAAACAAACACAAGTAACTGATTAAATCACTGTGCAAGTATCAAAAGTAAATCTATTCAGCTGTTTAAACCTGCTCTAACCGTCTGTAAAGTAAATTATGGCTCTTATATGTTGTAAAGGCATGGCATTTGGGGAGTACTTAAAAAAAGAGAAGGTGGATACAGAACAGAAGAATATAGAAGAACAAACTTACTAGAGCTAATTTCATACCATGTTACAGATGTAAGACAGTGTAAGTCGGAAGCATATGGTATCTTAACTAAGTTGTGGCTGCTAAAACTACAAAGGCTGGTAAGGTCATTTTGTGCCTGGTTGTCAGTTTGAAAGGCACCTCGGGGTTGTGCCTCGGTCAGATCATGTAGCAATGCCTGAAGGACCATAAAAATAAAGTGTTAAATTCTGACAGCACAGTTTGAAATAACCTTGTAATTTTTGCGAAGACAAAATCAACGGATCAGTGGAAAGGTAATTACAATGGTATAGCAAAAGGAACAAGAGCAGCAACTAAAATTCCAGCAGGAGAAAATTATAAACATCTCTTTCTGCAAAGTTGTTGGTTGTTTGGGTTTTTCTTAAGTGGTTAAAAATGTTTTGTTTTGTTTTGTTTTGTTTTGTTTTGTTTTTAACCTAAATTCTTGCAAGTTTTTCATTTATTTATTTAAGGTATCAGATAGTTATAAACATTTCTCTATATTATGTAGTCATAAGACTGCAGGTAAACATTGAAATGTTATTTAAGTGGCTAGCAAGTTTATAAATGTTTTTCTCTGAGTTACCATTCATGCATTTTTCATTATTATGGTTTATAAATTACATAGGAAACTCATGATGTGTACTTGCATTCATAATACGTTTTGTTGAGCTAGTACAAAGAGTTGTTCAAGGCAATTCTGTGTTTTAGTGGTGTGTTTTATCGTATGATTATAATAATTTGACATAAAGGTGTACCACTGCAAAAGCTGGCAGTCCTACCTTCCCTCAGTTCTTGGTTTCATGTTCCCAAGAAGTTCAATGTTCTTTTCTAGCTAAAAAGTAGTGAGAGATGATGGCGCAATCATTTCAGCACCACACTAGCACAGGTGCTGGGGCAAATAAATGACAAAACCCTCAGGGTATACAGCTGAGAAAGCATCCTTTCGGAAACAGTCTGGGTGCATTGGTTTGAAGGAAATGCCTAACAGTGGCCTAACTAGCTTTTTTATTATTTAGTATATTTTTTTTTCACATAACTTAGTAGGAAAAAGAAGCAGGTGAATAGTCTATAAAACTAGAAAGGTCTTAAGAATCCCAGTCCCCCTTCATTTATTGACAGTAAACCGGAGGTATAAAGCATATGTAGTCAATGTCATGCCTTGTAAGAACCAAAGGAAAACCATAATTGAAGTGATTTCCAAATCGATAATATACCAGTCCTGAAAGTGTAGGTGCATGCCTCTTTGTGTTTGTATATTTCTTTTTAAAAATAATTTTCTTGGAGTTAGAAAGTTATGGTACTTGTAAACTAAGCAGTTACAGTACGTGATATTTAAAACTCAGCTGGCAGTTGTTGGTAGCTACTTAGTGTGCTTGGGCAAATCAAACCTATTTGGCTGGCATAGTTCTTTGGTACTGCAAGTTAATAAATTGCTGTACAGTGACCAAAATGCAGTCTTGACAAATGTACTCTTGCACTGCTAAAGCACTCGCAAGGTCGTTTTCCCTTCTTATAGCTCTGACCATAACACCCTCTGCTTTTCACCCTTTTATTGGCATCCTCTTACTCGTTGCAGCCAGTATTACCTTCCAACACTCCTCCCATGAACTTCTAACATAGTTCTTGTTCGCTTCCATGATAGTGATGTGAATGCCATTCAGCAGCCTGTGATGATGAACCCGCCTCACTTCCTGGGTTTTCGATTTTGTGCTTTCTTCCCTTTTGCCCCTCATTTTTGGAAGAACTTCTTCATGAATATTCACTAGCTAGCAGACTGTGTTTCTTCAAATGTTTCCCTAACACCATCTTTCTAAAAAGCTAATATAAATCTTGATAAAACTGAAATCAGCCACCATACCAGTCAGCATTATCTCATTCTCTCTTTTTGCATGTGTTTGCATCCCTCTCTCTCTTATCTTATACTTGACCTATGATTTCTGAAAAAGAAGTGGCTAAAAGGAAGTTTTTCTAGGATAAGAGGTTCTGAGTCCAGAAGAGTGATTATGATGGGTCTCACATCAGCTTTGCTCTATAATCTTCATCATCCCCAAGGACTAGCATCAGTTCTCCCGGGAATCAGACTGAAAGATGAGTTGGGGAAGCTGGAAAAAGGAAGGAAAGAGGCTCCTGCCCCACTTTACAGTCTGTCAAAACCACACTTGGACTTTCACTTGGAGTGTGAGAGTTGGAGGTACTATAACAATTCTTTTGGACTCCAAATAATAAAACATTTGAATGGAAACACTATTGTTCTGCTGTTAGACATCTAATGGTGATGTTATGCCTGGAAAATAAGGAAAGGTTTTAAGCATTTTTGCTATTGACTTGTGTGATTGAAAAATAGCTAAAGAAACACTGAAGAGTTTGTTTCTCTGTTTTTTTCCTCCAGATAAATACCCTTCAGTTGGATTTACTATTGCCAATATGTATCATTCTGTGTCTGAAACCAGTCACCCTTTGCAAACAGAGGAACAAGAAATAGGCATTGATCCCTTGCAGAGTTATTTGAACAAGCCAGGGGAAGGTGAGCTTTGTTTTTCTGTACTTTTTTGACTTTATACCTAGAAACCTCATATAAGTGTGTCACGATAACTGTACCTGTCATAATTTGTTTAATTCTCTCAATGAAGTTGAACAGGGCAACTTAAAGAACATTTCACAGAGTATATGTAGAACACTCTGACACTAATGAAAACCACGAAAAGTCAACTTTCAATTACAGACAGAAACATTAGCCAAATGTTTAATGCGCTGTCATCCTTTTTTAATCATAAGCCAAACACTCACTTCAGCATAAGAATATTGAAATGCAGCATGGCTTTGTGTTACTTTCTCAAGCAAGGGCTCATACACTGCTTTGGTTTTAGGGATTTTTTTCTGTTTTCCTTTTTCTTTAATTCTTCAATAAAGTTCAGTTTGTTATTTTCGATGAGATTATGCAAATAAAAAGGGCTGATTTTCCTTTTTTTGTTTGACTCAGCACCTATATTCTTACTTAAAAAACCAAAAAACAAAAACCAAACAACCAACCTGAAAGTTGAGGTAGAATGAACAGGCTCTAAAGGTAGAAATTACTGTGTAACCCAAAGTAAATTAATTAAATGCAGTATTTGGAAGACTCTAATGAACAGTGAGAACAAACTGCTTGCATAATGCAGTGTGTCTGTGTTGCTTGTCTTTTCTACTTATTTGCTAGTAGTGACAGTATGGTTGGTTCGAAGAAAGTGATAAGCTTAATGAGAAAGCTCGTCCTTGTCATGAAAACATTCCTCAAGTACTCAGTTATACACAGTGGCACCTTAACTACCTGTAATTTTCCAGTCATTGAACACATAGAATCATAGAATCATTTAGGTTGGAAAAGACCCTTAAGATCATTGAGTCCAACCGTTAACCTAGCACTGCCAACTCCACCACTAAACCATGTCCCTAAGTGCCAGGCCTACACATCTTTTAAATACCTCCAGGGATGGGGACTGAACCACTTCCCTGGGCAGCCTGTTCCAGTGCTTCGCAACACTTCCAGTGAAGAAATTTTTCCTAATATCTAATCTAAACCTCCCGGGCTCAACTGTACCAGGAGGGCAAAATAAAAAATGTATTTTAAGTTACAGAGTTGAAACAACTTTGTCACATTTCCTAAGTCCCTCACCCAGATCAACTACTCTATCTGCATGTATCTGTCTATAAATCTTCTGTTTACTAGTGCTTATTAAAAAACCTATGTCAAGTTTTGCTTAGTCAGGTTTATTACTTCAGTTTATAAGGAGCTGACGCTTTGCTTTAAAATATATTGGTAAAAATTCATTGTCCCTTTGAGCTATTTTTTTTTTCTTTTTTTCTTCATTGGTTTATAAAGCTTTTTCAATGTTAGAAAATGAGAATGAACATCTAGGGGGAAGTATTTTAAAACCTGACGATTAAATGAAATAGCTTTTCTAGGTCAGCATTCCTCCTCTATTATATTTGACATCTTAACGATATGGAGCCATTTTAGTTTGATAAACTAAATGCATTTTTTTACATATTTTTAGAAACTTGGAAATAATCTTTTCCAATAACCTAAAATAATAACCATTTTCCAGAGGAAATATAGCTTGCTTCTAGTCTTCCCCAATCAAGAAAAAGACAAGCATTTTCTTCTGATTTTTTTTCCTTAAAAAAATGCTGGTAATTCTCTCAACTCTGTTTCAAGAAAAAAACAAGATTTTTACCCTGTTAAAAAACCACTGTAAATTAATTTTACCCTTTATTGTGCCCAGAAGCAATTAGTTACCTTGACTGAAAAGGTTTCTCATTTTTATCCCAACCTTAACATTTCTATGACATACAAAGTTATTAGTATTGAATTGATGTTTAAAAGTGCCATTAATTCATTTACCCCAAATGTTCATTAACAATGTAAATGTATGCTGATGTTCTATGAGACAAGGAAGTGACTAATGACTCTTCGCACTAACAACACTTAAAATGAATAGAAACTTTAGATAGCTAATCTTGAAGTAATCAAGACCCTCATTCAGCTTGGCATCTCTGTATGCTCTAAAACAGCTGTCAACTGTTAAAAATATATACACAACACACACATACGCACATGCGAAGATAAAGATATGTAAATACATGGTTCCCCAAGTCATAAAGGTTACCAACTATGGTACATTTTTTATGTTCTGTCTATGTAAATATTTTATATAAAGCATCCATTTCATCTTCATAGGTTTTTTTACTATGAAACACATACTGCATTTTAATTTGAAACTTTATATATCCAAAATAAGTCTTTGAAGTTTTAATATTTCATTTTTAAAAGAGCACATGCTTAGATGGTGTTAGGTTTTGGGGCATCAAAGTATACAATCATTCCCATCCATGCAGCCTGTCCATCATTGTCTTCACAGAAGTAGTTCAAGACAAGGTTTTTCAACTCGGCCTCAAGTTTCAGGCGCGATACAGAATCACTTGGTGAAAATCTGTATCTTCAAGTCTTCTGTGTCATGTATCATAGAAATTTGCAACAGAGGTGTCCATCAGTCTGAGATGTTCTATGCAATATTGTAGAATATCAGGACACCTGAATTGTTTTTTGAAGCTGTGCTGACTACTTAAAGTATTACCTTGGAGGCAAAGTGATAGAAGTCTTCACTGAGATGAGGTAATAAAAATAAAGCACATTGCTGATAAGGATGCTGAAAATAAATATTTAATCATAGAGCTAGTCAGATTTGTTAATCTACATGAAATACTGTATTTTTAGTATGCGCAACTGATACCAAAACTTGATGGAGAACCAGGAGATGTCATGTCCAGCTGGAGTTTTGAAATTCTCTCACAAGGCATTTTCATAAAATGAAAGAAATTTCAGAAATACATGGATTGCTGTTAAGTATAGCTGGTTGGAAAACTACATGCATAGACTACTTTTTGTTCATTTGCTGTCAGCTTGGAAGGATTTATTGGATGGGATTCCAGAAGTACGTGGATTGAGTCTGTAGTACTCAGTGCTTTTATTAAAATCTCACTGAAGGTATAGAGAGAAAACATGGTTTGTTTGGGACAGGGCTGTTAGCACCATGGAGGGCAGACATACAATTCAAAGTATTCTTGATTTTGGAGAAGTGGCCTGAGAAGAATAAGACATGGTTCACTAGGAACAGCTGCAAGGTTTAATGTTGCAAATGCTAGGCAGGAGACAATTACCTAGCTGAACAAATAGAAGTAGAGCATAACAGATGAGGTTAGTATCATTTGAAGAAAGATCTGGGTGTTCATAGCACTCCAAATTTTATGTAACTGAGGAACTTTGAATCTTGAGTTATGACGAGTCATGAGAGTGTGCTTGTTTGCAAGTTTACAAAATTCAGGATAGGCTGTTAACTGATTGAGAGTCAAGATCTGTTTTCTGTCTCTTTAAAATATTAAAAAAAAACAGATAAGATAGTATTTCAGTCTTTTCCTCATGGTTGATTTGGCCTATGTTATTTTCCTTGTGTCTGATTTTCTTTTCAAGATAGAAAGATGTGCATTGCATATATAGACTTATATATGCTTTTTTAAATAGGATTTTTAATAGTTGGTAAGAAATTTGTGGCAGGGATTCTCACTTTTGCAATCTGATATGTCAAATGGAAGATTTTAGTTCTTTTAAGAAATTTTAATTTTGGATTATATCTTCTGGATCTGGTTGTATTGTAATTTACATGCATGTATGTATATGTGCATTGTTACGTTTTCTTTTGACTGTAGTAAGTTGATGGTATCTTGCTACATTTTCTGTTCTAAAAATCTTCATGATATTGTCCATTTTATTCTAACAATATTTTTGAATGATTCTGACTGAAGTAGAGATCTTTATCAGAGCAACTGATAAACTTTTTTTGTCAACTTTTTTTGCCTCCAGGAGAGGCTTTATAAACCCTGAATATATGAAGAGAAATTTCAGAAACTTTGCTCTTCTACCTCCTCACTGTGTATTGCATCTGACAAACTATTTTGTTCATTTCCAAATGCTTGAGGTTTATATTACATTGAAACGGGATAACTAGGTTAACTGTTTCTGAGCTGCTGTAAATTTTTACTCAGCGTTCACTGAATTCTGACACAAGTTTTGAAGAGCATAGTAGGTAGTATTCCCATTTCATTGATGTAATGAGAAAGTTGATCCTCTAAGGACAAACTGGAACAATGCATTTAATACTCTTCAATTTAATTTGCTCAATATCACAATTAATACAATTAAGGTCACTTGAAATGAAACTATTAACGAATTGGGTAATTTACTTTAACAATGTCAGTGTGTTCTCACAATTACATTTGCTTTAATTAGTGTACAAGCTATTATTTAATAGCATACTTCACATAGAAAAATGTAATGTGTTCTTTGTTCTTAATAAAAGAAAAGGGGAAACGTTTAATGGGTCTGAGTGGTTTGGATTTGGAGTTTGGGGGCTATATTTCATATCTAAAGGCTAGAGTTGGTGATGAGGACAGAGAAGGCTGATGTAGCTGGAAGGACAGAGATAACTACTGGAGTGTGTGACTGAAATTAATCCAGTAGAGATAGATCAGTTGCCCACCTCATACTTACTTGCCATTGCATCCCTCCTGATTCTCAAGGCTGCCATGAAAAAATATGAGAGATGGTAAGAGAACATTCATATTTCCATTTTGACCATATTCTGTGTGTTTCCGTTGCTCGTCTTTGGAAAATTTTGCTGTTCTGGTATTAACCTCGTAACCCTGATACCATGTAGAACTATACCTTATGTGTAGTTTGAGATACCAGGTTTATATCAGTGCTATACAGAAAACATGTAGAAGACAGAGGGAAATGAATTAATAAGGTAAATACCACCTTCTCAGGACCCATGTGCTATCAAATAACTTCCCCAAATCTTAAGTGTAATTCACGTGGGACTATGTTGGTCTTGGGTACATCCTTTCACATTCATTGCAGGGTTAAGTGAATTTTTGCTGTCAGAAAATTGTATTATTTCCTAATCAGTCAGGAGCTATTCAGTATTATGA